CCTAATAAATGTTAACCTAACCTTAAATGATTTGTCAGGTTTTATGGTTGGAAAAGATGCTGAAGCCGGCGGTATCGCTAAAAATGGTGCTAAAATGGTTACAGCAGTATCCTGTGCATCTGTTCCTAAAATTACCGTAGTGATTGGTGGATCTTATGGAGCTGGAAATTATGGAATGTGCGGAAGAGCATATGGGTAGGTAATACAACAATTTCTGGTTTTTAATTTAAATTGTGATGATTAATTAGAAAATATTGATTGGGTTAAAATTAATCAATATTTTTATTTTGTGCTTTGATGTAGACCAAGATTTATGTATATGTGGCCGAATTCTCGAATAAGTATAATGGGAGGYGAACAAGCTGCAGGTGTTCTAGCTCAAATTCAAAGTGACAAAAAGATTAGAGAAGGAAAACTGGTAAAATCAAATTACCATCATTAGGATCTTAATAATATTATTTATTGATTGTTATTATTTTTGTAGTTAACAAAAGAAGAAGAAAAAATTCTAAAAGATCCAGTGATCAGACAATTTGAGAACGAAGGAAATCCATATTATTCTAGTGCGAGGTAAGTAAAACAACAATTCAGTCAAACCCAATAAAAATTATAATTATATCATTTTATCATGCAAAATATCAATAGGTGTTGGGATGACGGAATCATCGATCCTGCTCAGACTAGGCAGGTGTTGGCATTGAGCTTGTCTGCCATCCAAAATTCACCAGTTCAGCAGACCAAGTATGGTATTTTCCGGATGTAATCTATTAAGAAGTACCAATTTTAAATTGTGCCAGAACAATGATATATGACACAGCTACTCCGAGATACTGTTAAAATTATTACATATATTTTATTATATTTATATGATAATTATTGTTCATTGAATTATTTTATTCCATCCTTTACTTACGCTCAGTATGTATGATCGGTCCATGGTGAAGTAGCCACTTACAGTTATTATAGGTGTGTTGGATTGGATAGTTTTCAAAGCCGTGAAAATCTAATGTAATAAGTAGTTTAGGTATAATTAATATTCAATATTGAAGTTAATTCAAAGGAATCATTGTTAAATAATTTTTATTGATAAATGATAACTGATTACTTACCTCCTCTTGAGTTTCTAAACTGAATCTATTACAATCCATTGATTGTATTGCTATATTAGTTTTGAATCCCACCTATGATAATTCACATTGCTTAAATTAGGTTGAGTATCATAAAAAGGTTGAATAGGTATAAGCCAAAAAAAAATTGAAAATTGTAAATAATTTTTAAATAGCTAAAAAAGATCCAAATTATTGAAAATTTTGGAAATTTCTTATGTCTTGAAAATTCATATGAAAACATCTGTTGGAAATTTCAAATATCGACTACCTATAATCCTTATTAATGATTTACAAAAAAAAAAAAAATCGATTTTGTAAACAAAAGTGTTTTGGGTTTGTTTTCCCTGATTATTTTGAAAATTACATAAGGAGTCCTACATAGTAAAAATATCAAGTATTCAAGTACATATAGATGTTTATCGTGACATTCTCCTGCACGCAGTGGTTTAATTGGGGAAGGACGCAGGGGGACTGAGCTACTCTTCATTTTTCTTCAAATYATAGCGTACCCCTTTATTATATTCATCAAGGAATAAGGTTACTATTAGATTAATTTGATTGATTGTTAAACTTGATTTAGAGTCCACCTTTATTTATTTTTTCCAATTCAACCATTGCTTGCACGTCCGTGTTAAACAAATTTTGTTAAATACTCTTGATAAACTAAAATGATAACTGTCATCAGATTGAACTCGCCTATCTATATGATCTGTCTGGTAGTGAGAAGTTATATGTGATGAAGTGATGAAATTATTGGTTTAACAACTAATTCTCTCTTTTTATAATTKTTTTGGTATATCTATATAAATAATAATTTACAGACATTAATGTGTAAATACACAACAATTGGACATTGTACTTTGCTATAAGTATATAAAACGACTTATTATAAAAGTTAGTGTACCTACATATATTTGTAAAAAATAAAATGGTGCGTTTTCCTTTATTATACGAACGATCTTTACAAACGGTTCGATCATTTATATTTAAACGCATGGGGTTTATCCGTTTATCATATCGCAGGGATTGCAAATCCACAGCACGCGTAAAGATTTTGAGGGCACACAAAACAAAATAGTTTGACTACATATATATATATATATATTATATTTAGGTATAGCAGACGTTACTACGATAATTTTTTTTCATGACATACTATAGTATGATATATACTATTTTTTATGGTACGATCGAAAAACAAAATAATTTTTGGCACGTATAATAGCATTCAAATAATTTACCATCCCTGTCATATCATATATGCCATCATATGGATGGGTGTAGGGTGGTGGCTGGTGGGTCAAGGGTGTACCTACTTGATTAGTGACCGAATACGCAGCCTCGCACAGAACAACCAGATTTAAAATTGACCATACGGCGGTTGGATAGTATACGTTGTAATGTAAAATTGAGTGATGTCGACCGATGTACAAGGCGACGATACCGTATAGAGCTTGTACGACGATCACCGACTGTACAGCGAAATTGAATTCGTACTGACCTCGACCGGTTTCCATCAGCCYGCTGGACATGCCTGAAAGTTTTCGCCAAAGTTCGATGAAGCGGGACACGCGCCCTTCGACACCTTTGCCGCTGTTCGACTTGGTCATAGTTGTCATCTGCACCTAAATCAATAAAGCMCACATTATTCATAATATTTAGGTGATGATTGAGAAGGTAGTGGTGGTACAGTATATATAGTTTTGGCAGTTTTGCAATGGTGCAACGCGTTGCAACATTTGGCTGGAGTTCATCCCCTGAATTGTTTGAGAACAGTGTTGAATCCAGACAATTTTTCTGGGGGGGAGGGGCTCACTTTTTTTTCATTGGTGAATGGTGATACCTCATTTTAGTACAAGTATTATTAATTATATCTATTAATAGGTAATTATTCTTATTACAATTTAATATTTATAATTTAGACATTTCAAATTTATATAAAACTACAAAACAAATTGAAAACAAATTATTATTTTTTTAAATTTTTAAATCAATCTAAGGTTGTCACCATTA